TGCGGGCGCCTGGTGTGGGCTCTGCCCTTGCCTGCGCCCTGGAGCTGTAGCGGGCACCGTTCGGTGTCTGCAGAGCGGCTGGCCTGACCGCTCCGTCTGAAATTTTGGCCACAGGACAGATGAAAGCCAACCTTGAATATTGGTTTTCCGATGACGTTCATTTGGGGGGAGGGTGGGGAGGAGGGGGAGTTACTTCTCTGTGTTTGGTGTATTTGGGTGATTGTGGGGATTCCTATGTGCTTTACAGTGTTCAAAGACATACAAGCTTTCTCACAAGCACAGGGTTGCAGTACAGTTATAATTAACTTCTAAACGAATACGACTATATGGACACCAAAAGGAAGCACTGGCTGCAATAAATAGTAACTTACTTAATATTTATGTCTCCTTCCTTATGTCTCATATGTCCAAATGCTTGTTTTTCATCCCCGTCGTCCAAAGAGACAATGTGGAAACACTACCTAGAAGACTTCCTACTCTCTACCTGTATAGAACTAAAAAACCACACTACATGTATATAGAAATCGAAGAGGGTTAAAGTTGGGTTTATACTTGAAGCTTTTCCTCTTGTCACGTATAGGTTGGCTGTTTTCTTTTCAAATAGTGTTATGTCTTTGTAATGAATTGTTACTTCAGTTTTCAGAAGAAAGTGACTGACTCCCCTGACACGATACTTAAGCATGGGTTGAACAACAGATACCGTGTGTTGGAAGTCAGCGAGATACAGAGAAATGGAAGTGACCCTGAGAAACACTTGACAATTACAGCATCTCAGTCGCTGGAAGATACAGAACTGTGCATTCTTAGGAATGGCTGGTAATCCATACAGAAATGTAGATGTCTGGGAAAGAGGATGAAATGTTGCATTATTAAGTCACTTTTCTTTGTGTGGCCTTTGACATGAGTTTTACTCTCTTAGAAGTGATAAGAAATCCTGAATCAACCTTTATCTAATGGAATATTGTCAGTATTTTAGTGTAATGGATATTCATCTTGAGAGAACTTATGTCGTGTAACTTGTGTTGAGTGGATATTGCTACCTTAAAGTTTTAATTTGTCTTTGTACTAACAAACAGCCACGCAATAAGCTCTAAGCAGGTGATTTTGTTTGTGTTGTCTCACAACAATTAAGAAGCTATCTTCTAAATGACATTACCTCATTGTATATATAAACATACAAAGCTCTGTCTACAAAACATGAGGTTTTATACAGTCTGTTATAATCACCTTAGCTTGAGCTCTACTGCAAAAGTTTTTTTCAGGTGTGAATCAGTGAGTATATTAATTTAGGTGTTTGCATTGCATGGTATGTTACAGAAGACTAGTCAAGCCTTTTGAGACACAAGGGTGTGCGCATGCTATTTGGCACTGGTTTTCATTTTCTGTGTAAGCCTGAAAGATGGGAGAAAAGAAGACTTAAGACTCCATTTCTCGGAGGAGCAAGTATAGAAGATCTTGAACCCTGAAGCTTCTAAAAATATTTTTTTTTTTTTTTTTTTTTTTTTTTTTTTTTTTTTTTAGAATTTTCTGAGTTTCTGAGTCAAGCAGTATTGTTAAGTAAAAAGGTAGATCTCGCATAATGAAAAGGTGTAGTATGCCAGTGTAAAACATAACAATATTAAAATGGCTTAATATATGGATGTGGAAGGATTTGAAGTCAACAGGATTTCCCTGCATGCAGGCTGTCCTGATGTGTGATCCAATACTCAAAATTATTGAGCTTTTGTCAGTAAAAATTCCTTTATTAATTTTCAAAACTTACTTAGATCAACTTAAAAAAGAATCGCGATAACCTCCTGTTTTGAAGTATGTTGAATCTGATATATTAATGTATAATTTCTAATATGTGGTGTCCTTAGCTTGCAAATGGTTGTTCAAATGTATTATGTTACAGGGATTCTGTTCCAGTTGTTCCAGGAGACATCATTCATTTAGAAGGGGAGTGTAGCTCTGGTACCTGGATAATAAATGAACAGTCTGGATACCTAGTTCTTTACCCAGATCTGCTTCTTTCTGGCACTACGATATCAAATAGTATTCGATGTATGAGACGAGCAGTGCTGAGTGAAAGGTTTAGGGTAAGTGTTAATTTTAGAGCATTTAGTGTATCGGTGGGTTACTGTTTCACTGAAACTAATGGTTTAGCTCTATTAAAACTGGCTGAGATGCTGTATTGCAAAATGTCGTTATTAGCTATTCCTAGTGTTTATAATGCAGAATAATTTAGAATGGAAACATTCTCTGGCTGTGCTTCTTGTGTTTTTTGAGAATTTTGGCTAAAATAATCCTATATTCTTAATATAATTAATGGGACAAAGAGATCGTCTTCCCACTTAAAATTCTGGCAACTTCTTTAATAATCTCTTGCCACATCTTGTGTGGATTTGAATCCCTTGTGAGGGATGTGCCTCGTCGGCCATATGAAAACATAACCGCACTTGGCCAGGTTAAAAGCCAATGAAAAAGCAGCACATTCAGTTAAGACTCTTTCCTTATGCCATATGAGAAGT